TGCAGGTGTGGAAGTACAGTGGTGAGGTTCTGAAACTACAAAGTGACAATGTAGCCACGGAGAGAGGACATTAGGTGGCCTGGGGAACCCCTAACAAAACTAGCAATCAACAATCCAGATATGAGCTGAAAATTCCATTTACAGCTGCATAAAATCACAATGCTTAGCTTTTCCTCAAAAACCTATAAATGTTTGCTGAGAGAGATTAAGAAGACTTAGTTTAGATTACATTGATTTTTTTTTTAATATTTAGACTCCCATGTAATCCAGGATGGCCCTGAACTTGCTAATAGCTGATCTTTTAATATTTAGACTCCCATGTAATCCAGGATGGCCCTGAACTTGCTAAATAGCTGACTTCTGATAGTCCTGATCCTCTACCTCCCAAGTGCTGGGATTACAGGTGTTTATAGTGTATGTTCAGACTTGGTGCCACATGGTCTGGTTCTCTCAAATAAATTGGCAAACCCAAGACCACCCCAACATTTATGGGGGGAAATTTCAAGTGTCCCCATGTAGCCAAAAGTATCTTTAAAGAGAAAAACAAAGTTAGGAGTTAGGCAGTGGTGCATGCTGACGTGACAGTCTCGGCCCTCCAGAGGCTACGGCAGGACTCAAGACCAGTCTCAGGTACACAATGAAACTGTCTCAAACAAACAAAAAAAGGAAACAGCTAGAGCTCTCATTCTTCCTGATCCCCACACTCAGCCAGCAGGATGGACTGGCGATGACACAGGACAAGATAAACAGAACAAAACCAAAGTCCAGAAATGAAACCCACATCTGCAATCAAACCATTTCCATCTCAGGTGCTGGGTGCAAGGGCAGCAGATATTTCCTTAGCACACAATGCCAGGAAGTGAGGCTGGACCCTCAGACCCCAAACAACAGTGACTTCAAGATAAATGGGGACGACTGTGACAGCTGGCACAATAAACCTCTCACAAGAAAACTGGGAGTCCACCTGCATTACAGAGCCAGACAAAGTATTAGGTACAACACTGAAAGAGATATAAGAGAAACAAGACCCAAGTGGGCTCACCAGGCCAGGAAGCCGCCCCTAAGACCCTAGAGAAGCCTGTTGGGGCTGCTTGGCCTGGAGGGTGAGAGGGGATGCTGGGCACAGGATCTCTTTCTGAAACTGGCCATACATCTCTCAGAATGGAGTGCTTTGTTTTGCTTTTTATTTGTTTCGTTTTGGTCCTTTATGAGATAGGGTCTTTCTATGTAGCCTTGACTGGCCTGGAACCTACTATGTGGACCAGACTACACGTGAACTCAGATCTGCCTGTCTCTGCCTCTGCAAATGCTTAAAGACCCCTGCCCAGCAGAACAGTGCACTTTGAAAGGGTGAAATGTGTGCTATGAAAATTAGCTCAACCCACAGCTCAAAATGCAGCTGCTCCTTATATGGCTCTGTAATTATATTACTTCTGTCTATGAATATAATGAATAGTAATATAATTTTCAGAAATCACAAAATTTGCCGGGCACTGGTGGTGTACACCTTTAATGTCAGCACTTGGGAGGCAAAGGCAGGCAAATCTCTGTGAGTTTGAGGCCAGCCTGGGCTACAGAGCGAGTTCCAGGATAGCTAGGGCTGTTCCATACCCAGACTGATTGGGGCTGGGTCCAGAGTCACAGCTTTCAAGGTGGTAACCCCACACATACCTTTTGGACTTGCTCCCCCCTCGAGTTCTTAGGTCAGCCTTCGACTTTTCCAGCTCCACCTGCGCCTCGGTCACCTGTGCCTTCTTTGTCTCAATCTGTGAAGAAACCAACCCTGGCGTGGATGTTTCTGTTCCCACACAGACCTGTCCTCAGGTAGGCTGTTGGCCCTACATTCTTTGGGAGGATACAGCAGATAGAGCCCAGAGCCTCACAAACCACTGGAAGTGGGTAAGCCACTCCAGTTCTGAAACAACTCAGATGATAGAAGTACCTGAGAGAAGGACCCGTGAAGCCACATGGGGCTGGCCCTATCCCATTCTGTGGCCAAAAGTGAGGTCAAGAGGCCTCTAGGGCCCAATAGTGACACCTGCACCAGCCACAAATTGATCCAACATGCCCGCCACTCTGACCTCTTTCCTAAACTAGAACACAAGTTGTGTCCTAGGAGGGAGATGACAGGCAGCCCAGCCAGTCTCTCCCATAGCTGCCCAGGCCATGGCCCTGAGCAATTCCAAGTCCCTGATCCCAGCCTCCTGGAGCAGCTATACTCGCTACACATTCCTGCCCTTCATGGCTGCCTGGCCCCAGGAAAGAGGAGAGTAAAGCATGGGTACATCCTCACTACAGGTGCCTTCCCACCTTTTGCTGGAGTTTCTGCATCGACTTCTCGAAGGTCTTGGGGATTGCTCTCTGATGGTTACAGAGGATGGCCACAGCCCGGTTCGCCCGGTTGTAAGCTAAGACTTTGGAGGTTAGGCTATCTTCAGCTAAACAAAGACAATGACAACTGTCACTCTGTTGCAACCTGCTCTGAGGCTCCCTTCCTCCCTCCTATTCTTTGATGGTGCTAGTGACGGAGGCCAGGGCCTTGACATGCCAGGCCAAGTATTCTACACTGAGCTATATACACCCTTGGCCCTAAAGGGCTCTTTCTGGATATGACATAACTGTGGGTTCCTTCTATGACACAAAGTCCCAAGGAGGAAATGACCTAAGATGTCCCCACAAGCCAGGGCCACGTAGGTTTAGTCATAGCAATGGAAGCACTGACAGTCCTCACCTTCTTGTGTGGGTTGGACTATGTCCTATTGGGGCAGAGGCAGGAACCACAAAGCCATCCCAGACTCCACCATTTCCTTCTGGAACAGGGTAACAGAAGAGCTCACTGGCCCCATGTCAGCCATTGTGGCTGATTGGGGTTAAGTGGGGGAATAGCTTGGATTAAACATTTAATGGCACTGAGTCTTTGCCTTGCCCTGAACAGAGAGTTCCCAAGTCCATGGGTCTCAGTGTCTCCTTGAAGAAACCCTGCCTAGGGAGTAGAGTGGGCATGGGTGGTGGGCACTGACCTTCATGCCTTTCTGTGTTGGGAGAAGCAAACATTGGGCATCTGAACACAGCAGAGGGAGACAAAGGTCCCAAGCTGACAGTAAAGGAATGAGACAAAAAGCTGGAGAGGTCTGGGGCTACAAAAGAGGTCAGGAGTGGTGGGGTGCAGAACCCTGCTAGGAGCCTCCAAGATCTGACTAAGGAAGAAAGGCAAGGCCTACCTAGAGGAGGAGGTGTGAGGACAGACTGCAGACCAGAGACAGCAGCTAGAAGAGAAGGAAGTGTGACACCTCCTTGTAAGAGCCAGTGAGGCTATCCCGGCTCTGGGACTGACCTCCAGCATTCTTCCACCAACAGACAGCCGTGCCCAGCCCTCCTGCATCAGCTGATGCCTAGGCCAAGCCAAGGTGCGGCCCTTAGGCAGCTCCCAAAGGGGACAGTCTGGGTAGCCCTCAGGGTCAGGTGTAAGAACCTACTCACCCCTGGTCAATACCCGCAGCTGCTCCTGCAGAGTGACTGAGGCATTGTAGGTCCGGAACACCCTGGCAGTCAGCCCCTCCATCAAGCCCTGCAAGTGCTTGTTCAGACTGGCAGTCTGGGTACAGAGAGAAGAAAGGAGTCATGGGTAGTTTCCTTGGAGACATGAGTTTCATGGGTTATTCTCAGCCTCCAGGAGAGGGAAGGGAAGGGGGCTTCAGTGGCTGGGTCAGAACACAGAACACACTGGGGACAAAGATCCCTCGTGCCCATCCGCAGACTTACAGTCAGTGCATCAAAGAGGTTGTCCCCAGGGTCTTTGTCCTCCATAAAGTGCTGAAGGTTCTGGAACACCTGAAACAGAGAACTTAACTCACAGCCACACTGAGACTTCTGGAGAAGCCATCTGAGCAGGAAGGAGGTCTCATGGGAAATTTGCCCAGGCTGCTCTGGCCTCTCCTTAGTTTTAGCTTGCCCATCCTGCCAAAGGAGCCAAGGTGGCACCAAATCATCTTTGGAACCTCATAATGTGGCTTTCTGTAGAAACAGGTTGGCCAAGGTGTAGCTGTCAGGATGGGGTCACATAGGACACAGTGGCCCTGACCCTGACAGGATAATACTGTGTGAGAGAAGACAATGGGGAGAAAGCAGCTGTGTTCAACAAAGGCAGAGCATAACCAGCAGCTGCATCAAGTCTCATGGGGCAGAAGCCAGGATGGCAGGAAAGAGGTCTCACAGGGTGAGGTAAAGCCAGGGTATGCATGGCACCAAGCAGGGAGAGGCAAGAAACAGATTCTTCCATGTTCCTAAGGAACTGGCACCCACACCCTAGATGAGAGACCTCCTAGACCAAAACACTTATAATAGGTGTGTGTGTGTGTGTGTGTGTGTGTGTGTGTGTGTGTGCGCGCGCGTGCTCGTGAGGGTACACATGTGCATGCACCTTGACTGTGATGCCTCATCACACAGCCATAGGAGACACTGGGAGGTGCAGCAGGCCACTGAACATCCCCTGTGGCTCTGCCACGCTATGACTGAGATCCCATTGTGAGCAGGGTCAGTGAGGGCACTCACCAGTTTTTCCACTGTCACGCGGTTATTGTAGCGGATGGAATCCTTTCCCAAGAAGTCCAGCTCCACAACATGCTCTTGGCCATCTGCCTTTCCATGCAGCCGGACATGCTCCACAGGCAGTGAGCAGCAGCCCACAGTGTCAGCCGTCTCACCCTCTTCCTTCTCATTTCCTGTTCGCAGTGCCAGCTAGACAGGGTAGACACTGGTCAAGGCTGTGCCCTGTGGCACAGGAGCACACTCAGAGCACTCATGCATACACGGTGGTACATACACAGGCATGGAGTTGAACTCTCTCTCTCTCTCTCTTTCTCTCTCTTTCTCTCTCTCTCTCTCTCTCTCTCTCTCTCTCT